GGATGCCTCATCCCCATCGAAATTCTCAATTTTGGGGGTGGAAAGTGAGGGAAAAACAGAGCCAGAAAAGAGAGAAAAAAATAAAAAAAAAAGTAAAAAAAAATTAATTTTTATTAAAGCCAGACACTCTGATAGAAAAGAAAAAATCATCAAGGGAAAAAAAAAAAAAAAAAAAAAAGGAAAATAATAAAAAGCAACCCTTTTTTTTTGTTTGTTTGTTTTTTTATCACGGGAATTACAACGGTCACACACAACTACCCATGGCATCCACGGCGACACGGGGGACACGGCGAAGTGGCGAGGGGGTGGCACAGGTCGGAGGGGGAGGTCTCCCCTCCCTCCCCTCCCCCGTTTTTCCCCTGTGCCAGGCATTTTTTTTTTAATTATAATTATTTTTTTTTTCTTCCTTTTTTTTTTTCCTTTTTTTTTTCCTTATTTTTCAACTTTTTTTTTTTTTAATATATATATATATTTTTATTTTTTTTTGTCCGTTTTATTTCCTTTTTAAAACAGTTCACGAGAAAATTCATGCGGAAAAGAGAAAGAGAGAAAGAGAGACACACAACGGCGTAGAAACCCCAAAACATCCTCTAAAGAGAACCAGAAAATCATCTTTTTTTCCGTTTTTTTGGTGTTTTTTTTCGCTTTTTCTTCTCAGTTTACTCATTTTTTTTGTCCTTTTCGGAGTCGTAGCCTTTTTTTATTCCGTTTGTTTGTTTGAAAACAACATCCAGACGAGAAAAGCGGGGAGCGCATGCAGCGGGGCGCCTCCGACACATGCACGATGCAGGCAGCGCTTGGATTTCAGCTTTTTTTTTGGGTGATTTTTATACATTTTCCTCTTTTTTTTTATCATTTTTATTTATATTTTTTCCTTCTCTTTCCGGTCCGAACCAGAAGGGAGTTTTTTATTTTGAATTTTGAGTGGTTTTTTGGTGGTTTTTGGGTATTTTTTGGGTATTTTTTGGGTATTTTTGGGTGTTTTTTGGGGTGTTTTTTTGGGTGTTTTTTTGGATGGTTTTTTGGGTGTTTTTTGGGTGTTTATTGGGTGTTTTTTGGGTGTTTATTGGGTGTTTTTTGGGTGTATTTCGCATGGTTTTTTGGGTGTTTTTCGGGTGTTTTTTGGGTGTTTTTCGGGTGTTTTTGGGGTGTTTTTGGGTGTTTTTTGGGTTTTTTTGGGGTTTTTTTGGGGTGTTTTTTGGGTGTTTTTTTTGGGTGTTTTTTGAGTGTTTTTCGGGTGTTTTTTGGGTGTTTTTTTGGTGTTTTTCGGGTGTTTTTCGGGTGTTTTTCGGGTGGTTTTTCGGGTGTTTTTTGGGTGTTTTTGGGTGTTTTTCGGGTGTTTTTTGGGTGTTTTTTGGGTGTTTTTGGGTGTTTTTTGGGTGTTTTTTGGGTATTTTTGGGTGTTTTCTCCTTGTTTCAGCGAGGGATTTGCACGATGCCATGAAGGGGACGCACACGCGGGGACATCACGCTCACGGGGACACCAGCCGCGGGGACAAAGGGACACTTTTTTGGGGGGGTTTGGGGGTGGTTTGGGGACAGGTTTGGGGACCTGCCACCCCCCCCGTCACCTGGCGTTGTCACCTCCCCACGCTCTGCCCTGCGGGAGTGACACCGAGATTTGGGGACAAAGTGGGGTTGGGGACACCGAGGTGGGGACATCGGGGTTGGACTAAGGACAGCAATGTCATTTTTGGGGGTGTCACCAAGGAGGTGGCATTGTCACTCCCCGCCCCAACTGGGTGTCCCCAAAGAGGGTGGCATTGTCACCTCCCCATGTCACTTTTGGGGTTGTCGCCAAGGGGGTGGCGTTGTCACCTTTATATGGGTGTCCCCAAAGGGGTGGCACTGTCACCTCCCCATGTGGGTGTCCCCGAAAGGGGTGGCATTGTCACCTTTATATGGGTGTCCCCAAAGGGGCGGCATTGTCACCCCCCAGCTCGGTGTCCCCAAGGGGGTGGCACTGTCACCTCCATGTGGGTGTCCCCAAGGGGGTGGCTTTGTCACTCACAATTGGGTGTCCCCAGAGGGGGTGACCCTGTCACCTCCCCAGCTCGGTGTCCCCAAGGGGTGACAATGCCACCTCCATGTGAATGCCCCCAAGGGGATGGCACTGTCACCTCCTCATGTGGGTGTCCCCAAGGGGGTGGCCCTGTCACTTCCCCAGCTCGGTGTCCCCAAGGGGGTGGCACTGTCACTCACAATTGGGTGTCCCCAAGGAGGTGGCCCTGTCACTCACAATTGGGTGTGCCCAAAGGGGATGACCCTGTCACCTCCATGTGAATGTCCCCAAGGGGGTGGCACTGTCACCTCCACCCCTCCAGCCCCGCTGGGTGGGGAGGAGGGTGAGGCGCTGTCACCGCGCCCCCTTTGGGGTGACAGGAGGTGACAGGAGGTGACAGGAGGTGACAAAAAGCGCGCGGGGAGGGGGAGGGGACAGCGCCAGGTGCCACCCCCGGCCCGGCCCGGGGAGAAACAGCGAATTCACTTTGGTACCGAGGGAAGGAACCGGCACCGCCGCTGGCACCGGGGGACGCGCCCGGCTGTCCCCAGCGCCACCAGCAGCTGGGGACAGCCCTGGCGACAAGCGGAGAGAGCGGGGACACAGCGCCAAGCCGCTCTGGGAACCACGAGGAGCTCGAAACCTAAGCAGGGATTTTTTTCAAATCCACCCCCTAAATAACGATTTATCATTTATTTCTCTTCATTTTTTTTTCCTTTTTTTTTTTTTAGATTTTTTAAAGTTTTTTTTTCCCCTCTTTAAATATTTATATATAGATTTATATTACGTATATTATATATATATAATATGTAAATATATTTTTTAAAACAATATAAAATGTTAAGACACTTCACTTAAATGTAAAGAGTTGCTTTTTTTGCAATCCAAAGAAATTGCATCGTGATTTTTTTTTTTTCCGTTTTTTTTTCCTCTCTTTTTTTTTTTTTGGTCTTTTTATTTTTATTTTTTTTTTGGTTTTTTTGTTCTTTTTTAGTCTGTGTTTTTTTCTCTTTGTTATCCAAAAAAAGGCTCTCGTTTCTTCTGTACAAAAATGATCGAGATACAAAAAAGAAGAAAAAAAAACAAACCCAAAACCGAACAAAGAACGAAACAGAAAACCGGAGGAGGGGGAGGGAAAGGAAGAAAAAAAGGAATTGAAGTTTTTTTTTAAAAAAAACCCGAAAATTGTGAACCCAAGGACGAAATAGAGAACGGAAGCAGTGATTGGATCTCGTGTTGCACACGCACACACACACACACACGCACCTGGGCACACCTGGGCACAGCTGGATACACCTGGGGCACATCTGTGCACACCTGGGTGCTGCCAGGTACACCTGGAGCACACCTGGGTGCTTCCGGGTACACCTGGGGCACATCTGTGCACACCTGGGTGCTGCCGGATACACCTGGAGCACACCTGGGCACACCTGGGTGCTGCCGGGTACACCTGGAGCACACCTGGACACAGCTGGCCACACCTGGGGTACCCCTGGGATGCACCCAGGCGCGGCTGGGACACACCTGGACACACCTAGAATACATCTGTGCACACCTGGACACAGCTGGGCGCACCTGGACACACCTAGAGTACACCTGGAGCGCACCTGGACACACCTGTGCATACCTGGGATCACCTGGGCACACCTGGAGCCCACCTGGGGGACACCTGGTGCTCACCTGGCCACACCTGGCCACACCTGGGGCGCACTTGGGCTCAAATGGAGCACACCTGGACACAGCTGGGGCACAGCTGGAGCACACCTGGGCACACCTGGGGCACACCTGGCTCGGCCGCTCTGCCGGGAGGTGGCCACGGGCCCCTCGCCCAAGCCC